TTATTATCCTGTTGTCCTGCAGGCAGCAGGATAATAAAAGCCAACATATTCTGCCGGCAGGTTTCGACTGTTTCAGAGGAGTGATCATAGCGCTCTGCATCAGCAGTGCTGCGTCTGACTCCCTGCCAGCTCCCAGATCAGCTTCTCTCATTGGTTGATGCAGCGCGTCCAGCAGCTAAAGTTACATTTTCCAACTCCAGCAGCTGCTGCTTTTGCAGCGCGTTGCACTGCTTCAGACGCTGCAGGACCTTTTGCTGCGCCTGCGATTAATGTTTGCATGTCCACCATTGACTTTGCATGTAAACTAGCCGCTTCTGCTGCCTGTGTTACTAAGGTAGCATAAGAATTCTGCATTATTGGGATATCGGTGGGAATATTGTTATCATTTCAACACTGATTTTTATGATTGCAGCAACACCTCTATCAAGAAATCAATCCCAGTGAAGCTTGGTGTGTGAAAGCTTTCAGAGGAACTTTTCCCTCCTACAGAGGACAGAGGGAGGGACGGAGGGACAGGTGGTGTGGGTCTATTTACCTGTGTTCGAAGGATCTCTCCTTTGGTTAACTGCATGTCTCCGGTGAGTTCTTTAACAGTGATGCCCAGGGGTTCCAGACGCTTACTGAAGTAATTAGTCATCTCAGCTGCTAAGGCCTTCATTGGAGCCACGTACACTATCTGCAGAGAGAGGGAGGAGGGTGGGAATAAATAGGATACAAGGCAGGGAGCGCTAAGGTGAGCACGGTAGAAAATGGAGGTAGAGGCTGGAAGGACACTGTGGTGATAAATGAGCAGAGAGAGGCAGGATCATTTGTTCCCTGGCAACCAGCTCAGATCACAGTTCATGAAGAAGTGCTGTTTACTGTTTTTCCATTTCTTCCAAAGAGTCTGTTGTGGGCTTATTTTCCCACACATATCCAAGCACATTGTTTAGTTATACTAGTCAGCTGCATATTTCTTTGAATCTTAGAGAACCTGTACAGTAGCTTATCCTGTAGCAGATACTTTGTCCTTCCTGTGCAGTCTGTCATTCTCACGCTGCTCTTACATTTTTACCTCTGTGGTCATTTTGCTGCTGGAACACCTGAAATTCCCCACAAAGGGACAATAAAGCTGATTTCTGTTCAGCTGCTTGATCGGGAAAAGTTTAATGATTGACGTGTGAAAGATGAGAGGAAGATCTACGGATAAGCATGGAAGCCAGAGGATGTTTGGATTTAAAGGTTAGAACATCAATCAATCTTCTTATTTATGCACATAGGAAGAGCTTGATGGAAACTCCAACATTCTGGATAAACTCTGCAAATATTCTGACTTATCGTTTGTCATATCGGTTGGTAGTATTTTGACCCTCATGCAGAATCACACAAAGTGAAATGTTAGGATAATTATCATTGATGATGTATGAGTTTACTACACCCTAATATTACCTGCCTGTTGCGTTTCAGAAGTTTTCCCAAGTAGTTTATCTAATTGGACAGTTCTTCCAGATAAACAGTTATAATCTTCATTCCGTACGTGGCAAAGATTTGGGAATGGAATGAGAGCGGCGTGCTTTAGCTAAGAACAAAGAATAATATTTTGATAAGGCTGGAGCCATGGTTGTCTCCTCATCTGCAAACGTGTCTGATGTGATGATGTAGCAGACTGGAGATGTATAAAATGATTCTATAACAGTGGCCGCTTCCCGAGAACCGAGCCTGGTTGGTAAGCAGCTGCTTCTGTAACTCTAAGCAACTTCTCTGATCTAAGATTAGAATATCTATCCAAAAAGAAACAATCCACTGGACTCTGATTCCAAGTTTGAAGACGTTTCACTTCCCATCCAGGAAGCTTTTTCAATCGAAAAGCTTTGAATCCAGATTTGGTCTGATTTGTACGATGAGCTCAAAGTACACAGAACTGAAAACTGATTTAAAAAACAAAACAAAACAAAACAAAAAAAGATTTTTAAAAAAACAGAGAGGATTCAGGATTGCCAAAAATTACTTTATGCTGCAAATCCTATAAACAGATCCATACTGTAATTCTTTAAACATGCATCACTTGATTTGCTAAGACTCATTACTTTTGGCCCATCTTTGTTTCCATAGTTGATCCAGACTTTTGCAGGATGTCAGCTTGAAAAGCTGAGAGCTCAGAAGCTGAGAGCTCAGATTAAACCAGCAGCAGATGTTTGAGTGCTAATATCAGGGTCAGACCTTGAATTCGTCCTTTTTGATGACGCCACCGGGCTGCAGGTGCTGACGGATCTCATGCAGGACCGTCAGCATGGCGATGTTGGTCTTGCCGGCACCAGTGGGAGCGCAGATCAGAAGGTTTTCGTTGGTGTTGTAGGCCGTCTCAAACACTATGGACTGGATCCTGTTCAGACGCTTCATTCCCTTAAACACCAGCTGTCCCACCTGAGGAGAAGGAGTGATGACGGCGGTTAGCATAAATCATTACACCTCAAACCAATATACAGCGGACATCTTTAAAAACAAATGAATATTGCTGTTTTTTTTATTTAAAGAGGGCAGTTTTGATTGAAAGGATAAAAACATCTGATTCAGTGTTTCTACTTTTTAGGTAGTGAGAAAAGCTCCGGAAAAAAAAGCCAGCTGAGTGTTGGTTAGTCGGTTACCATTGGCAACCAGATCTACACCACTACCAACATCAGTTTTTTGTTCAAATGCCCCAGAGCCAGGCAGCATTCTGTGACAAACCCATCCTCTGGAGTGGTCCATGGGGGTCCTGCTAAAATCAAATGCAGGCAGGTGCTCTATGGCAGCGCCGCGGTCTGGGCCGGTGTGTGTGTGTGTGTGTGTGTGAGGGAGGGTGACAGCGCTGAGAGTGGAGCATCAAAAGGCACGAAAGAGAAGAAAAGTGTATATGGTGGGATCGGCTGTCACTCAGGCTGCCCTCTATCTGGCTTCACTATGGCAACAGAGAGTGGGTGATGGCCCTCAATCTCAGCCTGCCTCTGATAAGCACAGAAACAAGCAGAGTGAAGGACGGCGGGTGCCAGACACTCACACAACACCGGACAAACACAGACAACATACTGCAGCAAGCTTTCTTCATGTCCTTCTGCAAAACACACTGGGAAATCTTCAAGTATGTTTCTACTGAAGGGCTGTGAAGAGCATTTACTGGCAGATGCAGTTTGCATGTTTCAGCATGAATATAGAAAGAAGAAACGTCAGCCATCATAAAGCTCCTGTCACACCTCGACCATTTGGACCAGCGTATGCCTGACGTACCAAAGAAATCTGGCAAAAACGCTGGCATACGTTGGATGAGTTATGAGCACGCTGAAGTACGCTGGAACATGTCGACATACAGCGAATACAGCGAGAAACTTTGAGCATATGTATGCCGGCGTATGCCATACGTGGGCCATCAGTTCACGCCCACCACCAACAAACTTCCTAGCAGACATGATGCTCAATCTGCTGCATCCAAAAAACTTTTTTCTTTCTTCTTTTTATTTTTTTTGGACGGGGGGTTGGCAGGCGGTAAACAGCAGCTAGGTTAATACCACAATCAAAGAAATCCTTTTATGCAGGCCAGGTGCCTCCGGGCGCATCGCTGCCCCCCTCAGGTGCAGTGATGCTCCTGAGGGGGGCAGCTTTAACTGATGCAGCGTAATTACGCCGCTGTGCGTTATGCAGAAGTTAGGCTGTCATTGGACAGAAGCTCTGGACTCGTTATGAATAATCTATGTAAACGGCCAATTAAAATAAAAATATATAGAAAGTTCAGCGTATGCCAGCGTTTTAGGAGATCCAGGGACGTCAGGCAGACGCTGGCTAAATCGGCAAGGTGTGGCAGGGCCCGAAGCGGGTAGGTGGCATCCCCATTGACAAATATTATGCTTCTTTTAATGGAACATGGACGCCTAAGAAACAACTACACCAGTGACTCTTTGAAATGCATAAAGGCGTCATGGTTTAGGCTTCCAGCGCGACTGGAAGCGGCGATGAAAAATATTCACTGAGCAGTAATACAACATTAGTCTTTCCTTTTATCAAGTTATTGATTTAAATTTACTAAACTGGAGTAAATCAGGGCCATGCATGAGTTATCAGATGGAACTGATCCAAACTTGGTGATCGTTTAGCTTTTCATGCTGTAACAGACATGGTGTTAATTGTGAACATTAGTGGAAGAGGATGATTTCTCCGAGCGGCAGCGTCTCTCCAGGAAACTCCCTAAAGGATGGTGTTCAGAGGACATGCGAGGCCTCCTGCTGAGCTGCCCTATAAAAGCTCTGCTCCCACACACACTGTGGAAGATCTCCACAGGCAGCCACATTGGAAGAGGGCCGTTTAAATGAGGGGCCCCGAACCAGAGCCCCTCTGGCTAAATGGACCACACCTGAACCAGAGCCCCTCTGGCTAAATGGACCACANGAACCAGAGCCCCTCTGGCTAAATGGACCACACCTGAACCAGAGCCCCTCTGGCTAAATGGACCACATTCTTCAAATGTGGTCCTCAGAGTCTGAGGCAGAGCACAGCTTAGACTATCTGCAGCTTTCTCTCTCTCTGGGTTTACAGGAGGAATTTCACCCAAAGATCCATCAGAGACAGGACCAGAGCAGCTCTCTATGAGTCACAGACCTGCAGGGACCCCAGCCTGCTGAACCTGGCTGAACACTAGGGACGCTCCAGCTTTACAAAACAGAGAAAAACTGGGAAACGTTAGCAGGTTTGGACGCGTTTAAAAGTCCCCAGCAGAAGCTAATAGCATGCTAGCGGGATCTGATGTTAACATGTTGGAGCTTTTATTAATAAAGGCAGGGTACAGGGAGGAATTTAATACATCTTTAATGAAGTCAAGACAATTTTTAATAACAAGCTCATGAGCTCCAACTGTGGTGGGAGAGAGCAGCCGAGGAGAGTTTAAATTCTGACATTTATCTCACAATTCTGACTTTAATCTGTATTTAAAAGTCAGAAATGTGACTGAGTTTAAAGGCTGCAGAAATACAAACGTCACCATCCTCGTTCTGTAATGATTCTGACTGAGAAGATTACGGACACGCCCACTCTGTCTGTGGCCAACGTGTCTGAAAACATCCAAGAAAGTTTCCCAGTAAGTCTTCAAGGATAAAGGAAATAAAAAATGTCAATGGTAAATAAATGTTTTGGTACTTTTATAATTGAATAATTTATTGAATTGCCCTTATTTTTAAAAATGTTTGAGTTTTTTTAATTATAATTATTACACAGAGCCAAGGTCTTATTATTTGACGTAGTAACTTCTTTCGGTTTCCTGATTTTTCAGTATCAGACAGGAATTTTCATTTGGCTGCATCTGTAGTTGCTAGGCTTCATGTAAATACTCCTAATGACTCCATATCCAGCAGAGTAACGGCTTTATTCACTCCAGAGAAACCAGAAGGTATGACTGTAGGTTCTGACCCAGTGCTTTGATTGATCGGGTCGGTTTTACCTGATGAATCAATTCTGGCTTTATTCACTCATAACCCTGACAGAGTAAATTATTTGGTGAGGTTCTAAGCCTACGTTCACACTGCAGCCTGAAGTCACCCAAACGCAATTTTTTTTGCTCAAATGCGACCTGGATCTGATCTTTTCATGTCTGTCTGAACAACACAGATCTGATTTTTTCCAATGCGACCCAGGCAGCTTGGCTCTGTGGTCCTGAATCCGATACGAATCTGATCTTTTTAATGCGACCTGTGTGTGAATTGCCAGGTCGCATTCATCCGACCCGATCGTCATTAATATTCAACAAAAGGTCACTATTTTGCGTGTTGCTAAGCAAAAGCAAGAAGAAAAACAACAACCATGGCAGATGATGATGCGGAGAGCAGTTTTAGAGTTTAACCATATTGAAAAGATTGAGTTTTTAAGGTTGGGAAAGAGGGCTTGATGCGCTAGAGCACAACCATCCATGTTTACTTTCGTAAACTGAAAGTACTATTGCTTGGGACGTCATTGAGTTTTCTACTACGCATGCGGTACACTTGCGTTGTAGGGGTGGAACGGTTCACAAAATCCACGGTTCGGTTTGGTTCACGGTTTCGTGGTCACGGTTTTCGGTTC